CTTAGCTGTGGCCTGTGGGAAGGATCTAGTTCCCTGACCAAGGATCAAACCCAGGCCCTCTGCATTGGGAGTGTGAGGTCTTAGCTACTGGACCACCCAGGAAGTCCCAGAAGGCCACACACTCTTGCTGGATGCTGAGGGGGTCCAGGAGAGAGAGACTGTCCCACAGAGACCCTAACTGCATCTGTCTCACTCACCGACCGGACCCCGAGGCCTGGCCTGCCATGTTGACTGAAGGAAAGAATGAACGTGCACAGCGGTGATGGTTGTTTTGAACTCAGCCTCTGGGAGTCCATGACGATGGTGTGGGAACTTTGATTTTGCAGGCTGCTGTCATGGTTTGACAGGAATTGAGCTGCTGTTTCTGCTTCCATTGAAGCTGGGTGGGAGTCAACTTTTATGTAAGATTATTTCATGTAATATTAATGTCAGCGCCTATAATACCAGAGGCCATGAAGGGAAGAAGTAGAATTCTTGAATAAATTACATGTCTCACCATCAGTAAACTCATAACCTACATTTAAATTTGTAATTGTCCTTTGTTGTTCAGTTGCTAAATCACGTCCGACTTGTGACCCCATAGACTGCAGCGTGCCAGGCTTCCCTGTCCTTCACTATCTCCTGGAGTTTGCGCAGACTTATGACCATTGATTCGGTGATGCCATTCAACCAACTCATGCTTTCACCCCCTTCTCCTGCCCTCAATCTTTCCCAGCATCAGGGTCTTTTCCAGTGAGTCCGCTCTTTGCATAAGATGGCCAAAGATTGGCGCTTCAGCTTCATCTTCTGTCCTTCCAGTAAATATTCAGGACTGATTTCCTTTAGGATGGACTGGTTTGATCTCTGTGCTGTCCAAGGGACTCTCTCAAGAATCTTCTTCAGCATCACAGTTCAAAAGCATCAATTCTTCGGCGCTTAGCCCTCTTTAAGGTCCAACTCTCACATCCATACATGACTCCTGGAAAAGTCATAGCTTTGATTATACCTTTGTTGGCAAAATGATAGCTGTGCTTTTTAATACACGGTCAAGATTTGTCATAGTGTGTTAAATTCCGATTTCTTATGTGACATTTTAGTCTTCCTCTTGTCTTGGTAACTGATTTTCTTTTTTAGAGCTTCCTTTGCTTGATGTGGGCTTTCCTTGTGGCTCAACTGGTAAAGAATTTGCCTGCAGTGTTGGAGACCTGGGTTTGATCCCTGTTGGGAAGAACCCCTGGAGAAGGGAACGGCTACCCACTCCAGTATTCTGGCCTGGAGAATTCCCTGGACTGTATAGTCCATGGGGTTGCAAAGAGTCAGACACGACTTTCACTTGCTTGATGTGGCATTTGGGGGGAGGAGTATGCTTTAGTGCTGCTGAATTTTTAAGCTCAGAGATAGCTTGTTAAAGGAAGAATCTAGGTTGCTGGGACATCCTGTAGATCGTGACTGCAGCTCCATGGATTACGTGATGATTTAAGAAATTAAATCTGTTCAAGTACCCTGAATTGTTCTGTGTAGGCTCGTGACTGAGCTTAAAATAGATCCTGTCCTGTGCTCTAGGGGCCCGTCGTCTCCCTCCGGAGACACTCGCGCTCGCAGCCCGGTTCCTGGGCTGGCTCACTGGACCCGTGCGCAAATCCTTCAGTGCTGCTGCTGGCCATCAGCATACCCAGGAGGGACGGACTTAAAATTTGATAGATTTTAAATGGATTTTACTTACGATGGAAATTTTCAAACACATAAAGGTAGATGATACCCCATCACCTAGTGTCAGCGAGTCTTACCATGAGGCCTCCCCACCCTCACTTCATTTGAAGTGAAGTCCCATGGAGACTTCCCTGGGAGTCTAGCGGGTGGGGCTTCACCTTCCAGCGCAGGGACTGCAGGTTCGATCCCTGGAGGGGGAGCTAAGATCTCTCTCGCCTCACTGTCCCAAAACCAGAACTTAAAGAACAGAAGCAGTATTGTAACAAATCCGATAAAGACTTAAAAAAAAAAGACTTTTAAAAAATTTAAAAAAAAATTTTTTTTTAAATTTGAAGTAAGTCCAAGACATCTTTTACTTAACTCCAAGAATTAAGTTAAAAAATAATTTTAATAATAGTGAATATTTATAAATATTATGTATCTCTTTAGAGGTGAACGTTTCTTAAAAATTCATCTAAGTGGCACTAAAATGCCTAAAAATTTAACAATAATTCCTTAATATTATCAGATATCCAGTAAATATTAAAATTTCCCCTTTGATTTTTTAAAAATTAAAAATGTTATAGGCACTCAATGGATATTTATTGAATGAAAGTTTCTTTAAATTCTATGGTTCTTTACAATTTTCACAAGGTTCACACACACTATTTCATATAATCCTATAATAAATTTCCCCCATTGATTACAAATTTTTTTAACAGTTTTCAGAATTCAGGATCCAAATAGAGTCCATTCATAATGGATTCATAGAGTCCATAATTGTTGCTACTTCTCAGATTTTTTAAAATAAACTTTTTGTTTTGAAATAATTTCAAACTTAAAATTACAAAAATAGTATCCACCCCTCAGATCCCTCAATTATTTTTCTTAGTATTTGTATTTATTTATTTGGCTGCTACTAGGCCCAGCAGCAAACATGCCTTGGATGGTAAATAACTCGCCTGCACTGTGGGAGACTCGGGTTGGTTCCCTGGGTTGGGAAGATCCCCTGGAGAAAGGAATGGCAACCCACTGCAGTGTTCTTGCCTGGAGAGTCCCATGGACAGAGGAGCCTGGTGGGCTACAGCCCATGGGGTCAAAGAGTCGGGCATGACTGAGCAGCTAACACTTTCACTTTCAGTCCCAGTGGCAGCACACAGGATCTTTGATCTTAGTTACGGCATGAAGGCTCCAGTTCCCTGACCAGGGATCACACCCGGGCCCCCTGCATTGGAAGCACAGCATCCCAGCCACTGGACAATCAGGGAAGTCCCTCCCCAAATTGTTAATATACTACATTTACTTTATCACTCTCTAGAAGGAAATGGTAACCCACACCAGTGTTCTTGCCTGGAAATTCCTATGGACAGAGGAGCCTGGTGGGCTATATAATCCATAGGGTCACAGAATTGGACACGACTGAAGCAGTTAAAGAGGATAGTGAAAAAGTTGGCTTAAAGCTCAACATTCAGAAAACTAAGATCATGGCATCTGGTCCCATCCTTTGGAAAATAGATGGGGAAACAGTGGAAACAGTGGCTGACTTTATTTTTGGGGGCTCAAAAATCACTGCAGATGGTCATTGCAGTCATGAAATTAAAAGACGCTTGCTCCTTGGAAGGAAAAGTTATAACCAACCTAGATAGCATGTTAAAAAGCAGAGACATTACTTTGCCATCAAAGGTCTGTCTAGTCAAGGCTATGGTTTTTCCAGTGGTCATGTATGGATGTGAGAGTTGGACTATAAAGCAAGCTGAGTCCCGAAGAATTGATGGTTTTGACCTGTGGTGTTGGAGAAGACTCTTGAGAGTCCCTTGGACTGCAAGGAGATCCAACCAGTCCATCCTAAAGGAGATCAGCCCTGGGTGCTCATTGGAAGGACTGATGTTGAAGCTGAAACTCCAATACTTTGTCCACCTGATGCGAAGAACTGACTCATTGGAAAAGACCCTGATGCTGGGAAAGATTGAAGGCAGGAGGAGAAGGGAACGACAGAGAATGAGATGGTTGGATGGCATCACCAACTCGATGAACATGGGTTTGGGTGGACTCCAGGAGTTGGTGATGGACAGGGAGGCCTGGTATGCTGGGATTCATGGGGTTGCAAAGAGTCGGACACAAGTGAGCAACTGAACTGAGCTGAAGCAACTTAACATGACAATCTATTTGTATTTTTTTTTAACTCTTTAAGAACAAGTATCAGACACGATGCCTGTGATCACAAAATACATCAGCGTGCATTCCTTAAACCAGAACATTCTCTGACATATGCCCAGTGTAAACACTGAGACAGTGCTACCATCCAACCCATGGACCACCTTTGTATTTTGCCAGTCATTCCAATCATGTCCTTTCAGGGAAGAAGATCCACTCCAGGACCATAGATTGCATTTGGTTGTCCTGTCTTCTCACTTTAGCTTCAGTCTGGAACAGTTTTCCATTTTTCCTTGTCTTTCGTGGCCTGAGTGTTTTTGATAAATTCAGGCCAGTTACTTTGTAGAGTATGCCTCAGTATAGGGTTGCTTGGAATTCCCTTGTGTTTAGATGCAGGTCCTGCATTTGTGGCAGGAACACCATGGGATGCATACTGTGTCCTTCACAGTGCTCCGTACCAGGAGGCACACGATGGTTTTTTTTGGTTTGTTTCTGGCGTGTGGGGTCTTAGTTCCTCAACAAGGAATCCAACCCAGACCCCCTGCATGGGAAGCTCAGAACCTTAACCATTAGGCCACCAGGGAAGTCCCAGGAGGCACAGCATCTTGATTTGTCCTGCTGCTAACAAACGTGGCTTCCATCTTTTCATTAAGATGGTGTTTGCCAGGTTTTTCCAACTGTAAAGCTACTTTTATAATATTAATTAATGACTAATTAGAAAATATTTTGGGGGTATACACCTTGAGGCTCTGTAAAACTGTCCCTCACCCAGTCTTCCCCACTGGTGTTTAATACCCTTTGGCGATTCTTGCTTGAATCAGTTATAACTTTGATGGTTGCTCTTTAAAAAGAGCTTTTACCTATTCACTTATTTACGTCAGAGTGAGCTCATGGATTTCTAGCTTATCCAGTGGGTTAATATCTATCATCATTTATTTTGATGCTGAAGTTGTCCTGGCTTTGGGTAAGAGGAATCTTTTTATCTTACCTATTTTTTATTTATTTACTTTTAAAAATATATATTTATTTATTTGGCTGCATTGGGTCTTAGTTACAGCACCTGGGATCTTTATTGCTTTGTGGGGGGTCTTTCCTAGTGGCATTCGGACTCTCTAGCTGTGGCACATGGGCCCAGTAGTTGTGGCACCCAGGCTTAGTTGCTCTGAGACATGTGGGATCTTAGTTTCCTGACCAGGCATGGAACCCATGTCCCGTGCATTGCACGGTGGATTCTTCACCACTGGACCGCCAGAGACGTCCCAGCTTTTGTCTTTGTATATGTCTGGGTTGAAATTTGCTGCCTGTCCTTTTTTTGTTTTTCTTGCCCGTGGACATATTTTGTGAAAATTCCCCAGCAAGCATAGTCCAAGGCAAGAAAGAGTAAAGAGTGAACACTTTGAGAGGTGCAATCATGGGGCCGTGAGGCGGAATCGGGCAGTGGAAGGGCAGAGGCGATGATGCAGTGCGCTTCCTTTGCTGGATGTCGCTTCACCTTGAGCGGCAGACACAGTGGGCCTGGTGCACGGACTCCTCCAGAGTATATGTGAAGAGAAAACGTGCTGCCAAGCAGTCGGCAGAGGCACAAGGGGAGGGAGGTTGTATCTGCCCCGTTCGCCCCCATTTCCCGATTCCCGTTGTCATTTTACGAAAGTCCATAAGCAGAGGGACAGCTGGACGAGGAGGAAGCACTGACCCAGAGACAGAGGGGGAGGCAGTCAGGGGAACTGGAGAAAATGCACAAGGTTTGTGTCCAGGACACTCCACACCTTGCGCTACTCTGGTCCAGTCGTGCTTCCAACGGTGTGAGCCTTCCCACTTCGATGGAGGGTCCACCATCCTCCAAAGACACCGTGACCCGTTCCCCAGGAGGGGACATAGCAAGTCCAGTCAGTGACAGGGTCCTCGTTCCGGTGGCCTGCTGGGGTCGCCTGGGAGACTGACGCAAGAAGGCTGTGGAGCAGGCTCCTCTGGTGCTGCTGTGGCCGGTTCCGAGGCTGTTGTCGGTGGTCATCTCCCTCCCCCGCCGGCCATTCTGGGTCCTCTGCGCCCTCCACCAGCACCCAGCGGATTTCAGCTGCGCAGGGGGTTGCGTGCTTCTCAGCCCAGTGTCATTCAAGGTCAACCACGCATCATCCTCTCTAAGGAACGTAACCAAAGCAGGAGAGAATCAGAAGCGGCAGCAGCTGTTCCAGTGAAAGATGAACGTCTCATTGTCATTTGACTCTAGAACTCGTAGAAGAGTCGAGAAAGTAACAGGTGGTGAACAGCCAAGGAAAGTGAGTGAGTGCTGAAGAGCAGTGGAGTGGCTACAGGGACTCCGGGCTGACCGGTTGCTCTTCCTTTTCCCCACCGCCTCTGTGGACAGAGCTTTGGTTTGTCGTGGGGAGGAGGACTGGTGTCTGAATTTCCAGTGAGTGTCTGAAGGAGTGAGTTAAGTAGATCCAGTCATGGTCGTCGGATCTGTTTTCAGACATTGGTCACAGTTGGAAGTGGCCCAGGCTTTAGTTACCTGTGCTTCTCCTTTTTTTTTAGCTTTTTATTTTATATTGGAGGGTAGCCAATTAACGATGCTGTGATAGTTCAGGTGGACCGCAAAGGGACTCAGTCATACATATACATGTTCCCCTTCCTTTGGTACTGTTAGCTCTGTGATCTAGTAACCAGCACGGAGTCAGCCCCTTGTCGCCGGGGGTACTGGGTCAGCCCAGTCATCGCCCTCATCTCCTGGGGCTAGAAGAGAACGGTGGTTTCCTTGCTGTTCAGATCTCAGTTCCCAGGTCATTCCTGGCAAGGGGTGGGGGCCTCCAAGTCCACCCCCTGGGGTTCTGGGTCTCTAATCACAGTTTTAGCAGTGGGTTCCCGCCCTGCTCCAACTCTGTGGTTCTGAGACTCGGTGGAAAGAGCCTGGGGTGGAGTCAGAAGTCTATGCTTCCTGGCAGGGTCCTGGCCGTCTCCCCTCTCCATTTCCTGGTGTCTGCAAGGGCTCAGAGCCCAGCCAGCATGCCCTGCACGTGGCCCTGCTGTGGGCCCTCCTCACTTGGCCCCTGTCCCCACTGAGAGCCCCCCCAACCCCTGCAAGGCCGAGCCTCTACCAGTCCTGAGAGCCGTTATCTCCTAGCACTGACGTCAGGGCCTCTGCCAGCTCCAAGGGTCTGAGCTTCCAGGGATGGGCCTTAAGGTTTCTCTTTCAGTCTAGAACAGAGGTCCCCAACCTCTTCGGCACCAGGGACGAGTTTCGTGGAAGACAGCTTTTCCACAGACCTGGAGGTGGGGGATGTTTTTGGAATGATTCAAGTGCATTACATTTATGTGCACTTTATTGGCATTACTATTACATCCCCTCCACCTCGGATCATCAGGCATTAGATCCCGGAGGCTGGGGACCCTTGGTGTAGAACCATGGAGTCTGGGAGCCTCACCCCATCCCTCCTCTTACATCCCACAGAAATCAGGGGGAAATGGCCCACACCTGCCGTGGCACCATCAACCTGTTCACCGCGCACTTCGACACGGAGGACTCTTGCGGTATCGTGCTGACCAGTGGGGGCAGGACCTACCACCTCAAGGCCGGCTCGGAGGTGGAGCGGCAGCAGTGGATCACCGCCCTGGAGCTGGCCAAGGCCAAGGCTGTCCGCATGATGAGCAACCAGTCAGGTAGCCAGCGCTCGGCGCGGCGGGAGTGCGTGCAGTGTCGCGGGTCTGAGAGCGTTTGGGGGGCAGTGGTGACCGGCAGACCCACCTCGCCCTGCCAGCTCAGCTCCCAGCATCCTCAGCAGCCGGACGTTAGGTGGCAGGGGCGGCCCGCAGTTTTCAGGGTGGGGATGTTCGCGGTGGGCGGGGCTCGGTGTGCCTGGTCCATGGGGTTTGGCAGAACCCTCGGATGCTGCGCTGGGTCAGCTCCAGAGGCAGAAGGCAGGGTGGGAGACCAGGATGGTGGGTGTGTGCCTCAGGCCAGACTTGCTCTGAGGTCCGCTTCGGAGACTGAAAACCATTTAGCCAGAGTTGCTGCCTTCGCCAAGGTGGAAGGTCGGCTCAGAAGTCCTAAGCAAGACATTTTATTTTTTACTTTCATGCATTTATTTTCTTTTTAACATGTAACGTCTTTATAAGATTCATAAACCAACGGTTTCAAAGGTGCATGCCGTGAAGTCTGCCCTGGCTCTTCTGCCAGGCTGCCCACCCTGTTCTCCCACACAGGGGCCACTGAGCTTCTGGGATCTTATGTCTTTACATGTGTATATTCAAATAAGTACATTTTTCTTTTTTTTGCCACACTGTGCAACCTGGGGGATCTTAATTCTCTGAGTAGAGATTGAACCCGCATCTCCTGCATTGGAAGGCAGTCTTAACCACTGGACTACAGGGGAAGTCCTGCAAATAAGTACTTATTTTAAAAAAGTGCAGTCCCCACTTTGCTGTTTTTCTCTATTCAGCGACAGTAGATCTTGGAATCTTTTCCCGTGAGTACATAGAAAAAGCTTCCTGCTTGTTTTTACAGCAGTGCGGTCTCCCTGGGCTGGGGTCTCCCCAGCACTTGCCTCAGTGCATGTGGAAGGTCACGGACTATTAGTCTGACCTTCTATTTTAGTCTCCACTAGTTGGAACGTGGGACCTCCCTGCCCCCATGATGACCCTTCCTTGGAGTCCACACTCTGGTGTGTGAGTGTGTCAGCGGTGATGCTGAACTTGGCAAGGGGATCCCCCATCAGCCGACTGTGTGCGCCTCCCAGCGTCCTTCCAGCTCAAAGATTTCTAAGCCAAAGGGATCCAGTCCGCCTGGGTTCAAACCGTGCCTCCCTTCGTGGCTGTGTGACCTTGGTCAAGGTGCTGCTTTCCGTCACCTCATTCTCTCTGTGAAGTGGGCTTAATCACAGAACCACCCCTTAGAGGTGCGGTGACAGTGGGTGAAATGAACCTGGCACCTGGCTTGGCAAATGCTCAAGGGAAGTCAACTGTAGTTACTGATAATAGTCACCTTGGCGGCTTTAAAATAACACAGATTCCCAGGTCACTGGGCAGTGGTAAATCTGAATGAATGAGAGCAGTGTTGGGAATGGGTTGGGCGGAGGGCACCTGCATTAAAAAAAAATCTCCCTGGATAAGATTGGCAGATTTTCGTAAATACAAATACAGGCCACCGAAGTAATGTTTTAGTGTAAATGTGTCCCATGCAATGGTTGGGACATACTTATATTGGAGTTTGTTTATTGTTATTCAGATGTAAAGTGTCTTTCACCTTTCATCTGCCTGCGTTTAGCTGCATCTTGGGGGGACCGTGACACTCAGCCCACTTGGGAGCTTCTCAGTCAGAAACCAGAGCGTGTCCTTTCACTTGACACAGGAGGGCGCTAGAAGACAGTTCATTAGCTTTCCTTGTCCCTGAATCAGTGCCTGAATTAGTTCTAGAAGCGCCAGCCGGTTGGCTGGCTTGCCACCTACCTTTCAGGACTTGTGAATCATTTTCAGATCTTCAGGCCTGCCCTCCCAGCGGGCACCCCAGGAGGCTGAGAGCAGTGACGCCACCGCCGGACACCTCTCTCTCACCTTGCTCCCACCACGGGGCGGGGGGTGGCTAATCCGGCCCCTTGGGGGTTCCCTCTCCTGCCCTGCTCCCCCAGGCTGACCTGCCCCCACATTGATGTCATAGCCCTATTCTGATATCACAGCCCAACACTTGGAATTACCCTGGGCAGCCCAGATTCTGCCCTTAGAGCAACCAAGGTGGGCGTTTGAGCGGGAGCTGCAGGGGCTGGCTGGTGGCCCGGGGGGCTGAGCCTAAAGAACATCTGGGCAGCCTTCCGTCCTAGAGCTTCAAGATGAAAATCCTGTAAAGGTAGGACCTGAAAAAAATAAAAATAAAAAAAGCAGGTAGGACCTGGAAGGCTTTCCTGCTGTCCCTGTTGGCTGTGATCCCTCGAAGTGAAAATAAATCCCTGGGGAGTGGGGAGGGGGCTGTTCAGGCTCTGGAAAGAGCCCCTGGAAAGCCTGCTGCCTTTGTGCCTCGGCTCACACGTGGCCTGGAGAGATGGTGGTCTCGCCTTGGTCTCCTGGGCACTCTTCCCATTAGGAGGAGGAGTGGCTTCCTGAAATGTGGGGTTTCTGACTTGTTGGGTGGGTGGGAGGAGCTCGGAGAATGCCTGCAAGTATGGAGCCATGGCTTCAACAGTGCCCATCCTCCGGAGGCTGAGCGGGGACGGGGTGCGCTCGTCTCAGGACAAACGGAAAACACGGCCACATGCAAGCTGTTCACCCTCAGATTCCTTGGTCCCGAGAAGGAGAAGCCTCATCCACTGAGGTGGGCAGAAGGTTTAATGAAGTCTTTCACGAGCTCATTAAGGTAGTAAAATATTGACTGGCATGGATTAAACAACAGCAACAACACACACACAAACACACACGCACACACCCTGAAAAACTTCTCTGTAACTTAGGTGGGCGCAAAGGCCACTGGGGCGAACACGTTACAGTTCTTAGCGGAGGACCACTGAGATTCTAATGAGCTGATAAGGTGGTGCCCAGGAACTCCCATTTTAAATGTATATATTTCTGTTTTTTAAAAATATTTTTGTATTTATCTTGGCTGCTCCAGGCCTTAGTTTTGGTGCCCAGGGTCTTCAAGCTTTGTTGGGGGCATATGGGGTCTTTAGTTTCAACATGAGAACTCTGCTTTTTTTTTTCTAAATTTTTGGTTGCCCTGAGTCTTCCTTTTCATTGCCGCGCACGGGCTCCTCATTGCAATGGCTTCCCAGGTGGCGCTAGTGGTAAAAGGCCCGCCTGCCAAAGCAGGAGATGTAAGAGACTCAGGTTTGATCCCTGCGTCAGGACCCCGTTTAGGAAGAAATGGCAACCCACTCCAGTATTCTTGCCTGGAAAATCCCATGGACAAAGGAGCCTGATGGGCTAAAATCTACAGGGTCGATAAGAGGCGGACACGACTGAAGCGACTTAGCACTCTCGGGGAGCACAGGCTCCAGTCGCAAGGGCTTCAGCAGCCGTGACACATGGAGTCACTGTCGCACGCGGCTCACGGGCTCTAGAGCACGGGCTCAGCGGTTACGCCACATGTAGAATCTTCCTGGACTGGGAATTGAACCCTGCGTTGGCAGGTGGATCCTTATCCACTGTACTGTTGGGGACGTCTGCAGTGTGTGAACTCTTAGTTGTGGCATGTGGGATCTAGTTCCCCAACCAGGGAATTGAACCGGGGCCCCCTGCACTGGGAATTTGAAGTCTTAACCTCTGGACCATCAGAGAAGCCCCAGAAACCCCTATTTTTAATATACATTCCAGGTAGTGCTCCTGTCAGCCCCCCATGGATCTCCTTTTGAGAAACACGGTCCAGGCTCAGACTTCCTGGATGGCTTGCTGCAGCCATCTTGCTTCCCGCATTTCCAAATCGCACGTTTTCCGTGGAATGAGGGTTGAATTTTGTTTTACCACCATGTGTTTTTTTTTTTAATGAGCGGGATCCAGAGAGACGACAAGGGTGCTGTGGGGAGTCTGGCTGGTGCACTTGGATCTGTATCCTTGGCCGCTGTCTTCCAGATGTAGGTGCAGCCTTCTCTCCACCTAAGAGGGACTGTGTCTGTACCGGGAATGCTGCACCCTTCGCCATGAAGACTCTTGGCCCCCCGCCTGGACTGAGAGAGTGGGACTGTGGGTGTGAACTGTTGGTCACTGAAGCTGACAGCAGCAAAAAAGGCATTGCTGACCAGAGGGTTTGGCTTCCGTTTCTCTGGTGGCCCCAGGATGAACTTTCAGTGGTACCGTGGGCAGGGCGGTGGGCAGCTGTTGCTCACCAATAGGTCAGCAGCTCGAGGTGGGAATTCTCTGCTTGCTTTAACTGTGGATCCGGGGCCCCCAGAATGCCACATGGCCCTCTGTACAGATAAACAGATCTGTGCCTAGTTTGGGGAGGGTGAAGTCTGTTTCTGGTTTCTAGCCCTTTGGATTAGGCGGTGTCCAGCGTTTAGGTGTTCAGGCCTCGAAGCCCCTTGTGGTCTCAGCACTTCCCTCCAAGCTTCCAGCCCAGGTGAGAGGCAGGCCATGTCCTGGCCTGTAGTCCTTGGCTCACAGGTTGCAGGACAGAGGGGCTGAGCTCACCCAAACCCTCTGAAACGTGGATGAGTCCGACTCTCTCTCCCTCAAACTCTTCTCTGCCCTGACTCACATCTGGGCCACTTCATCCAGTAAGACCAAAGGGGCAGTTAAGATTTCCCCTCAGCGATGCTAGGACAGGAAGCCGAGCTCACTCCACTCCACTTCACAGGCCCACCCCTGGTGTCTGGGGAGAGAAAAATCTGTGCCCAGTTTGAGAAGTGAGGCCCTGGGGCGGGGTGTCAAAATCGAGGACCAGCCTCCTCATCCTGAGGGCTCGTTGCAGGCGGGCCAGTCGCTCTTACGTTGTAGCTGCAGCATCACCTTGCGTGGACTCGTTGCTCAGTAAACATCTCAGCTGAAAGAGGCATAAAAGCCTCAGGAGGGTGCAGGTGGACTCGAGGATGCTGCAGAACCCAGGCACTGGGGCTTCTCAAAAATCTTGTTGTTGTTATGGAAAACTTAGGACAAAACAGAAGCAGACAGAAGTCTCAGGAACCGGCCCATGCTCGTCACCAGTTATCAGCTCAGTCTTGTTCCTGTGCCTCTGCCTTCTCCCCTAATCCTGCATCATTTTGAACATTTGTCAATATTTCAGGATGTGTCTCTAAAAGATAAGGATGCCTTTTTAAAAAGTTTAATATATTCAAGGTACCGTTGTCATATCTGCAAAATTAACAACGCAGTGCACTGAGGCTTTTTTTTTAAAGGAACTTGCACTCTCCCTGGTGACTCAGAGGGTGGAGGGGAACCAGAAAAGGGGGTCAGGGCCTGAGAAAGGGGGACACACATGTGCTTCCAGCAGAGAAGGCAGAGCTTTCTTCAGAGTCTGAAGAAACCAAGGGGAAAGTTAGTGTCTCTGGGAGAGAATTCTGGCCCTTCTGGAAGAAGCAGGACTTGGCACAGGGCAGGGCTTCCTGGAAGGACAGAGACCTCTGAGGGCTCAGCCTCGCCAGGGGGCCTGCAGGGTGGGGAAGGGACGTGAGTTGGAGTCAGTTCTCAAGTATCCTCATCAGCAAAGGCAAGCGCCACCAGAAGGGAACTTAGCAGAGCAACAGCGTTCTGTTATGTAAGAGGTGTTGACAGTTTGGATTCAGACGTGACCCTGCACCCATACAGATGGCAGCGGCTTACCCCCCGAGGGACTCATGTGAGTCGGTGCTGGCGGAAGAGGCTCAGCTCAGTAACTGGGTCACTCACCAGCGAGTTGGAATGTACACACTGAATGCAAGCAGGTTGACACCTCAGTTCTCAGGGAGGCTGAGCTGGGTTTTCAAAGCGAGGGCGGTGTTTGTTCTGACTCTTCCCACAGACCCTCTGCCAGCTGGCAGAGCCCAAGAGCCCATGGCCCAGAGGTGGCCCCCTTATTTCAGTAGAAAAAATAAGCATTCTGAAATGTTTGTATTGGAGGTGGACTTCATAAAAGGATTAGTAGGTCAGAGTCGTTTGACCAGAAAAGTAAACTAAAGAGTCACTTGTCTGCATTTGGTCCATTCTTACTATTAAGATGCTTTAAGTGTCATTTTCCCACCAGGGCAATTATCCTGATACTAATTGCTTCCTTTGTAACTAAAGGGTATAATAGCACTTACCTTTGTAATTATCAGATTGAGAAGGCTTGTGCTTTGTTCCCATTTAGATGTTAACCTACTGGTGGATCTGTGGGCATGAGCTCCAGTCTCTGACGTGGGTGGGATTAGCAGCTCATTTCATCGCTAGTGGCAAAAGTACGTGACCTGAACCCAAGGTGAGCTGGGATGGGACATCTTCTTGGGTTCCTTCTGCACTCGACTTTGCCAGCTCAAGCTCAGGCTTTGATTTGGAGAGAAACTTACCAAGGTCAAGGCTAGGTATTCAGGGCTGTGGAACCAGCAGAAGGGGGTCTTCCTCACCCCGCCAGGGGGCATAGCTGAGTCTCATTTGCATAATGGTGTGCAGGGGTGTGGCTTAGTAAAGGGGGCACAAGATTTGGGATCCTAGTTTGGCCTTGAGTCATTGTGTAACTTAAAAATAAATTTTGAATTATGTTAGTTTCAGGAGAACAGCAAAGTAATTTAGTTATATATATTCGTTCCCCTTTGGTAACCATAATACTATTTTCTATATTGGTTGTGAGTCTGTTTCTGTTTTGTAAATAAGTTCATTTTTTTAAGATTCCACAAATAAGTGATGTCACTTTTTATTTGTCTCTCTCTGACTTCACTCAGTATGATAATCTCTAGGTCCGTGCATGTGTGGCTTCACCCTCTCTTCTGTGTGGCTGAGTAATACTCCGTTGTGTACATGTACGTACCCCTTACCTTCTTTGCCCTTCCCTCTGCCGGTGGACACAGGCTGCTTCTCTGTCTGGCTGTTGTGGCTCGTGCTGCTGCACACACCTTTGTGAATTAGAGTTTTTGTCTCTCCCATTGTGTAACATTTTTAAAAAATTTACCTGACTGTATAGGGTCTTAGTTGCCGCCTTAGTTGGTCTAAGATCTTAGTTGGTCTTAGATCTTCACTGCATCATGTGTGATCTTTTG